CAATCTCCCTCGCGACGCTATCAAGCAGTCCTTCGACGAGATCCTCGGCTGCGCCGAGAGGATCCAGTGGGCTATTTAGCACTCGCTTCGCACCTTGGCGCGATCCTGGCGAGTTCCGCGAGTGTGCGGCGACCGGGTCCTGGAACGCCCGAGCGCTTGTGCATCACGATGCTCCCACGCGAGACCGCAAGTTTCGTCACCTGCACTCGTACCTTGGGCAGGGCACAGCGATGTTCCTGCAGGAGGTCCATGGTAATGCCATCGAATGTATGCAAGAACTTCACCGCCATCATGTCTATGCCCAGGTCTTCATGAACTTCAGTAGCATGCGTGACACTGGTGGAACTGTTATTATTATGCCTGGGCGGTTCGCGGCTACAGATGCGCCCAGGTACCCTCGCGAGATTATGGTTACTGGTCGGGTCCAGCGACTCCGTGTATCAGGACCTGCATCTGACTCCCCTTCTCCATCTCTCATTATCTACAACGTCCACAACTTCGGCATCAGCGGCGATGAGATGACAAGGATCGAAGATCGGATTCGAGCTGACATCGCTATGGCCCAGTCGGCGCCGACGATGGTCACGCTGCTGCTGCTTGGCGACTTCAACATCTCGGCGGCGCCGCCCCTGCTGGTCCAGGCTCCCCTCATCAATAAGGGCCTCGTGCGCATGGACGAGGCCGCGCCTCGACCACTGGAGCGCCGCTGGAAAGCTATATTCAATGACTTCGTCGAACTTGAGAATGAGCTCCCCACGCACTTCTGGCAAGAGGAGGGATCGCCCCCGAAGTTGTCGCAGATCGACAGAGCGTTCCTGGCTTCTCCTTCGTGGTTGGCGATACAGTGGCACGTCGCGCTCTCGACGCGTGATCTCCCAGAACGGCTGCATGAGATCGGCCTCAGTGACCACGCGCCGATTGTGGTTACCTTCGCTGGCCGGCCACCGATGGACAGCGAGACGCAACCGATCCCGCGGCACATCTTCAAGAGCCCCGAGTATGCGAGGCAGTGCTTGCTCCTGGCTCAGCATGTACCGTGGCACGTTCTTCATCCTTATCAGCGGAGGCTAGAGCATAAGAGACTCATGCGGGAGGCAGCTCGGCGCGTTCGTGACAATATCTTCAAACTTGGGGCACGCGACAACGACTCGAAGTTGCTCGTCTTCCGCTCGATCGCCAGAGCGGTCTGGAGGGACGATCTCAAGCTGGCGGAGCGCCTGATTGCATCATCACCGCTCGCAGCCGAGCACCTGCTGATCACCAGCACCTCGGTCCCCCTCTCGAACCCCTCGGACTTCACTGAGGCGTTCGCGGCCGAGCAGAACATCTACGGCGAACGTCGTCTCGCTGATCTCGATCGGCGGGCTCAGGCGGCTCCTCCTGACGGCACTTCGTTTAAGCACATCAACGCCATGAGGCGTGCCACCAGACGGAGGGCAGCACTCTGGACTCCATTCAAGCGCACATTTAAATTTCAGGGACTGCGTCTTCCTGATTCTGGTGTCTCGCATGGCCTGGGACAGGGTGCTGAGAGGATCGTGAATGCCCAGGCGGACGTGTTCGAAGAGCTGCGCAAGCACTGGTCGCCGATATTTCAGCGTGATATTCCCGAACTCCCTCCCAGCATCCTGTGGTGATAGATGGCCTCGAGGACGTTCGTCTTCCTGACTCTCGCGATCTTCAGCGCGCGGCACGCAGGGCTCGCGCTTCGGCACCAGGCCCAGAGGGGCTGCCGTATGATGCTTGGAGCTGCTGTGGGTCGGCGCGGCCTCTGGAGGACCTGGCGCAGGTGGGTCTAGAGGTCGCGCAGGGCTTCCCGCCACCTCCTGACCTCAATGACCACCTGATGGTTTTCCTGCCCAAGGGTGCCGAGGCCGACGATCTTGCCTCGGGCCCGACTCGGACGCCATCCACGACGAGGCCTCTGGCCCTCAAGAACACGGACGTAAAGCTGCTGGCCGCCAGCGTGAACCATCTCATCAAGTTCGACATCGAGCGCCACCCCCCCCCTCTCTCAGAGGGGATTCCTGCCTGGGCGCAACTTCCTGGACAACATTACCCTGCTCGACACCGCGGCTCGTCGGGTTGGCTTCTCCTCCACCAGGGACCAGCGCATGCCGGTGATGGTCCTCTTCGACTTCGGCAACGCCTTCCCCTCCCTGGCCGTGTCTTTCCTGCGCGCGGTGCTGCTGCGGGCTGGCTTCCAGGGCGGCCTTTACCAGCTCATCATGGGCATGTACTGGTTGCCGCAGGCCTTCGTGCCCATGGAGGGCGAGCTACGCCGCTTCATGATGGTCACGGCGGGCATCGGTCAGGGCTGCCCGCTCTCGGGGTCCTTGTGGGCCGTAGCCATGAACCCCTTTCGTGGCCCACATGGAGGAGATCTCGGCGCACTGGGAGTCCTCCGTGGTGGGCGTCTGCGCCGACGATGTGGGCGCGGTCCTGCAGGATCGCAGGCTTCTGCTCCGCCTTCGCAGGGTCTTCGCCGCGGCGCAGGCCTTGGCAGGTTTGGCCCTGAAGCTGGCCAAGTGCAAGGTGGTGCCCCTGAACGCCGCCTTCACCGAGGAGCTGGCGGCCAGCACCAAGGAGTGGCTCGCGCAGGAGCTGCCAGGCTGGGGGCAGATGGACGTGGTTCCGTTCGCCAAGTACCTCGGCTTCATCCTGGGTCCAGGCGCCACGATCGATGACGTGTGGCAGGAGGCGGGCGCCAAATGGATCCACCGCGTTCGCGACCTTGCCCGTGAGGGCGCGCCTGTGCACCTCACTGTGCTCTACAACTCGCGCGTGCTGACGGTCCTCAGCTACTTGATGCAGCTGGCGCCGCTGTCCCGCGCGCTGGTCAGGCGCGAGGCTTGGGCGTGGCACAAGCTTTGGCACCTCCCGCCCCAGTCGTTCTCGCTGGCTGGGCTTCTGGGCATCGGGAGCTGGTCGGCACTGCGGCCAGCCAGCATGCAGGTCCTCAGCTTGGCCACGCGAATGCGCACGGCCATGGGCATTGTGACTAACTGGTCGACCTTGCGCAAGGCGCTGTACGAGACCGCGCTCGCCTTCGGCAGCCTGGCGGAGATGGGCTCTGGCTGGTGGTCGCCCGCGTTCTGGAGGACCAAGCCGACTGCGATCCACCTGTCTGAGGCCAGCAAGGCCACCTTTCCACTGAAGGCTCGCGCCTCGGCTGCCCGCGCCGCCCTTGCTGCCCTTGCCGAAGCCTCGGGACAGGGGCGCGCGCGAGTGCAGAGATCCCTTTCCTCCTCCTTACGCCTCTCCCTCTACCCCTACGTCCTCCACCTCACCCTCGCTAAACGCATGGCCTCTTGGGGGCTCCCATTTTCGGAATCGTTTTGGGATGCCCTCAGAGATCTCATTCGGAATGGTGGCCCCCCAGCATGGCAGAGTGCGGTCCTAAAGACGATTGTAGGAGGTTGGCTCACTAGCGCGCGTTTGCACTCGTCAGATATTGGCTTGTGTAGATTCCAGTGTGCTCAGTGCCGTGACGACATGCTGCACTATCTTCATTGCCCAGTTTTGTGGAGGCTTGTATACCATCCCGATTCGCCTCCTGACTGTCCCTCTACGCGTCTTGGGCTCGATGGTCACCCTACGCCTGAGATCGTCGAGGGGATTGCGCGGGCTTACCATATAAATGATGTTGTGCGCACCGCCCCCGACCCTGGCCCCCTCGACAGCGAGGAGGCTCTCGGGAGGCATCACTACAATATACGGCGTGCTGCCCAGGTCCTTGTAGAGCACTCTCGAGCGCCCTTCTAGGTCTGTCTGGCGGGACCCGTCTGGACTCCTCTGGGTACGAGTGACACACCAACACAAACACAAACACAAACACAAGCACAAACATACGCACACGCAATCACAAACACAAGCACACACACAAACACACACACACACACACACACAACACACAACACACACACACACACGCACACGCACGCACGCACGCACGCACGCACGCACGCACACGCACAGACACACACACACACACACACACTGCAGCGTTCCGTTGCCCCATAAGGAGCTCCACCGACAGCCCCAGTGATGACGTTCGCATGCATCCGCCCCACCCAGTACAATGCTTCGTGGCTCCATAGGGGACCCCACCAAAGGCAACAGGGGCGACGTTCGATTCGCCCGCCCCACCCAGTACAGCTGTGGCCCCATAGGAAGCTCCACCGCTCCACCGAAGGCCCCAGTAGCGACGTTCGCATTCGTCTGCCCCGCGCAGTATTGCGTTTCGTGGTCCCGTCGGGAGCCCCACCGAAGGCCCTACCAGCGACGTTCGCATGCGCCCGCCCAGTCAAGTGCAGCGTTTTGTGGCCCCATAGGGAGCTCCACCGAAGGCCCCAATAGCGACGTTCGCATGAACCCCCCCCGCCCGATGTCCGCACACCTCTCATACGCGTCGTGGCCTTGTAGGGAGCTCCACCGAAGGCCCCAATGGCGACGTTCGCATGAGTCCGCTTCACCCGTGCCGGCACATCTCTCACGCGCTGCGTGGCTCCGAACGGAGCTTCATCGAAGGCCCCAGTACGTTCGCATGCGCCCCCCCCACCTCCACGTCGGCACGCCTCGTCACGCGTTTCGTGGCCCCATAAGGGGGCTCCACCGAAGGCCCCAGTGGAGACGCTCGCATGGTGGCTTCGCCCCATGTCGGCACACCCCTCACACGGTTCGCCTTATCGAGGGGGGGGGTATACCTAAGGCCCCAGTAGGCAAAAGTAAGCAGCGCCCGCGTGGCCCTGCCAAATGTTGCCCCCCCCCCTCCCCTCTGCACACGTTTGTGGTCCCACAAGGAGATCCACCGAAGGCGATACTCACAACGGTGGTATTCACAACTGTATATATGGTTGGGTGGGTCCTTCGCCAAGGTGTTTTGTTGGATCTCAGGTAATCGTTCATATCCCCCGCGCCCGAAATCGCCTCCAAAGGCTCTAGATGGTGAAGACATGGCCCTCTCGAGTTTCCGCCTCTGCCGCGGACCTCGCGCCCAGGAGTCCCTCACGAAGCAGGGCGCCGCCAAGAAATTAGAGTGCGAGAAGGAGGAGGTAGACTACAAATCGGAGGCGCGGGGGTCTGGGCAGAATGCTGCACCCAGGCCAAGGCTACAGGCGCCCCGTGGCAAGCATCGTCGCGGAGAGGACACGTGCCCAACGTGAACGGCCTGTTCCAAGCGCGCGCCGCGACATAGCAGGCGCATCAAACAACAAATCTGCTTGCCAGCAGGTGCCCCACGGAAGTTTCGTATCCCCCGATGGCCCCATGAGTTTCCGGAAAGCCTGGGGCACCTCAGGACCCTCGAGGATCGACGAGGAGTGTGCCCCAAGAGGTCTTCTTGCACGATGTCTTGCCGTGTGTGCCTACATTGTATACAGGACTGACATGCGCCCCACCTCCCCCACCCCTCTGCGCGCAGCGCAGCGCAGCGGGGAGCGGCGCGCGTGCGCAGGATGGGCGGGAAAGCATGATTTTCCGAGGGGCCCGGGGCTCTTCGCGTCGTGAACAATGAAACGCCACGTTTGCCTAGCGTGTCGATCCGCCGGTTCTGGCTTACCTCGCTTCGGCGCGCGAGGATATCCGCTTCCCGGAGGTATTGAGCCTTTTCCGAGCCTCCCGCTCTGCGCAGCGGGGCGACACGGTGTCCACTTGCACGGCATAACGTGTCGCCTGGGCCGCCGTTGCGGCACGCTATCCAAAACATCGGACCGTATGCATAGATATGTAATCTATGTCTAACCATCGTTGTTCGTATTATTGTTGTCATCGATGTATTTCTTATTATTGTTAGTATTAGTACAACTAGTAGTAGTACCATTCCCATTCGTACCATTAGTTTTTAATGTTATTATTATTTTTGTTGGCATTGTCATTCGTATTATGTTTCGCATTGCTATGGACTCGGCTATGCATCAAATGCTGCCTCTCAGCTCCTGTGAACGCCGATGGAACTAGTGTACATAAGTGCAGCAAAGGTTGTTGAAATGAACGGGCATTTCCATGCAGGACCCGTTGCTCTCCACAGTTCGGGAGAAATTGGAATCGCGCAATATGTTGAACAGCGTGAGCACTTTGGAAAAGCCTGCCAACTCTGCAGCGAAAGTATCATCGAGACTTGGATCAGAAAACCCTCCGAAAGCAAGAAGTCTCCAGCCTTGCCCCTGGGACCCTACATGCATCAAGAACCCTCCTGCGCTGAGGCCGGGATGTCTCCAGCCCCCGTCAGAATGAAGGAGTACATGATGTGGGCTCGTGGCTAAACTCTACCAATCAGGTGGCAAGCATAAAAAATCCGTCCGCGTATCCATCGCGAAATTACACAAGGCATCGGCTTCCGCGTTTTCTTCGCGCGGCCTCCACACTATTGGAGCACCCAGGGTATCAGGGGGAACCCACCCACCCATGAGGGAGTGCAAAAACAAATCAGCTACACTATTCAGTCTCTGGGTGTTCTCCCAGTGCACAAAAAATTCACCAGCGAGCGCCTGGGCGAGGGGTGTGGCTGTCCACGGCGCAGAGGAAGGCAGAGGAGGAGGGGGCGGGCCAAGGACAAGAGAGAAGAGGGGTGCAGGGTCGGATGCTAGAAAAGTCTGAGATAGAGGGAACGGGGTCGGCTCACCAATTAATCGTTTTCTGAGGTCGGGCTCGCGCGGGTTCAAATCGCCGGTGTCTGCGGGCCCACGAAGACGTATTACCATCGGCCCGTCGGTCCCCAAGCGTTGCGTTTGACCGCTGATCGATTCGTCGCGACTCCTTTTCTGACCCCGGCGACTCGACTCAGAGTTTTTCTCGAAGTTATCTCCCCCAGTTGGACGCGACGAAGTAGCTCGCCTGGCGGCGTCGATTGCCATGGCGAGTTCCCGATTTCATCGGGGCAAGTTCATGCACAACACACCTGACCAATGAAATCTGACTCAGAGACGATGCCAATCCGCTGCGGAACATGCGTGTCCCAGAAATCTTCAAGTGGAGGTGGCGATGGCCCTGGGCGACGGTATCTCCACTCCCCGTTCACATCTTGACGCACAGCCTCGGAGCGGCGAGCCTCGCTTTGACCCACCACGTGCGCACCCCGCCTGTACTTAGACAGGGCTCGCAAAGAAAACTCTGGCTGGCCCGACCGAGAAGTTCCCCCAGACCACTCGTAAGACTTGATACGCCATCTGTGAGCCCAGCGGAGCCACTGGTGATGTGCCTGCGGGACTCCCCAAACAGCCAAACGACCTTCCAATCGACGAGCGGTCCTAATGCTGTATGCTTGGACACCTTCGTGGGGGCAACGTTTTAGACGGAACGCTTTGCGTAAGTGCTGGTCCTCTCAAGCTCGGGCAGAGCGCAATCTATCCTCGGTGGGGTATCACGATTGGCAATCGTACAACACTGATGAAGCGAAAGCACGGGCCTTCGCCTCCCAACTCGCGTGCTTGCTGTACATGTGTTTGTGTATGTTCCCCATGCTTCCCTCCGCCTTCAGATGCCAATAACCCCAAAATGAGCTTGTGTACCCTCCTTCGACAGCATGGTGCCCAGGAGAACAGCACGATCGACTACTGGAAAAACTAATGGACCTTGCAACCCTGTGTGAACAGTGACGTCTTTTGGCGGCATGGCTATCTCCATTCCACACAAAACAACACTCTTTCATTTTGATGATGAAGCCGTGCTGATGCAACCGGTGGATGGCCCGAGCCATCATAGCTTGTGGCTGGCTCGCAGACCAGGCGCAAAACGCCAGCTTGTCCGCCCACGCAAGCAGCGTCAGCAAGAGTGATTCCACATCTGCTTCGATGGATTGGGGGTTCCCAAGTGGCAATGATCGGTGCAAGCATGTACGACAGCACGACGTTGAACAACATTGGCGTATCCACCCCGCCCTGCCGCCCACCCTTGCGGTACGGAAAGCTCCCGCTGGATCCTACCCTCGCGATGGGCATGTCTCCTTGCAGTTCTGTGAGCTCACGCAAGGCCGCCAGCGCTAGAGAGAACGGAACGCCTAGGTGTTGTAGTGCGTCTAAGGTCCGTTCGTGCGGCATGCGATCGAAGGCGAACTCGGCGTCGAGAAATCCGACAGAGTGTGGATGGCTTTGTACCGACGTGATATAAGTAAACATGCTCCTCTCCGCCTCATAATAATGTCGTTTGCTGTTATACTTGCATGCTGTGCACTGTCTGACTTGAACTTGCGCTACATACTGCAGCTGTTGTTTACTCAAGCAAACTATTCGTTTGCTTGCAGGAGAGAAAAGGTGCGATCTAGCCCGCTCGCGCGCGCCGCGGGGTCGCCCCCGCGTCGTCGTCGTGTCGCTGGCCGGCCGGCCACCTCCCTTACCATTCCTGATATAGTAAACTTGCTTACCAGATACTTGTCTTATCGATGTCTCATCCCGTCCCCTCTCTCCTTGAGCAGAGTGAACATGAGATCTTTATTCCTTTGGCATCTTACCCCGATTCTCAGAGGAAAGACTGGTTATCAGCCGAAACGCGCGGCATAGTCGAAGCGGGATCATACCAACCAGAAGCAGGAACTTCGGATGAACCCCACGACTTAGTCGTTGCGGGTATGAGCTATGATAAGACATATGATATGTCCGTCACTTCGCGAAGCGCAGGTCATTGCGTTGTACAACATGACGGACATGACCCTCATGAGAGCGGCCCTGGCCAGGGCCGCCTTCCTCCTTCTAATATCGCCACTCGGGTATCTAGGGGTAGAAGTGCTGGAGGGGCTGTAGAAACGTCGGAAGATCGCTATCCCTCTGGAGTTCCGATCGATAACCGTGAACAACCCCCAGACCCGTATGGACGGAATGGCACAACAGCAAGACCTAGACGAAGTGCATTCTCGTCTTGGATCGCCGAATCGACGGAGTCGATTAGCCCTATTTCGAATGCTACACACACAATCGTACCGGCCGCTGGTGAAGCCAGCCGACCAGGGGAAGTCCACCAGACCACAGGCGTGCACCCCAGCGTCCCAGGCGAATGGAGTGGTACGAGTAGACATGTTCCCATCCCAATAGCGTTAAATGGACAATTCGGCCAAGACGGCGACGATCCTGTTGATAAAGAGCATGAAATAAATTCAATGGAGGAAGATTTTGACAATATCAACAGAGGAATCTCTCTGAGCCGAGAATTGTCTTCGTTGATGGAAGCAGACCACCCCGCACAAGGCGAGAGGTGGTCCCCAGATGGATCTGATGAAGATACCAGTGACCTGACGCCCCAGGCGGACAGGACTGAGACTCAGGCGAAGCATGACATAGAGTCTACAGGACGGACTCCTGCACCTCAACTCAAGAAGCAAAGAAACGAGGATTATGATTTAAACGACTCACCACTAAAAGAAGGTTTCCATCGTCCTGCCGTCGCCTCAGGTGATTGGCAAACCTCGATGCCAGCTGTTGTTGAGGATGAGGAAATGGTCGGACAACCAGCTTCGTACACTGAGCTTATAAGACAGGACGAGAGGGATGAGAAACTCTTAGAGGTACCTAAACCCCCAGAGTGTACGTTTGCGCGCCCCAGATCGAATGCATCTAGTAGGTGAAGACCCCAAATGCCAAGATCAGGAGCGAGACCTACTTCAAGGAGCAACAGTAGCATCTCCATAATCGAGACATGCTGGAACCCAAACTTTGACTGCGCGCCTCAGGCGGAAAGCAGATGCCCAGGTAAAACCAACAAGCCAGAAGGTGCATGTAGGCATCCAGTGCGCAAGAGTTGCTCTGAAGCATGCCCCAAGTGTAATATCCAATGGTTGTGTATAGAGTGCTTTCCTATGGGTGAGCATAACTGCACACATCTTCTCGTGAAAACTTTTCAGGATCAGGCAAGACTAGCTGAGGCTAAAACCCAGCGAGAGTTTCTGACCAGCGAAGCACAGCTGGCCGAAAGGGCCCGACTGGGTCGAGAAGAGATGGCGGCAACCATGGCAGAAGTTCGGAAGACGTTCGAGGCTGAAAGACTCGCTCTAGCCATGGCTGCTAGAGAGCGAGAACGAGGACTGGTGGAACAGATGCATCATCAGACCGCGGCCGCTAAGCGGCAGGCGGCAATAGAAGCCGAG